GTGAAATCCCAGAATTCCTGTTGCTTGTTACCCAGAGAATCACAAAGTACCCTGTTCTGGTAGAGAGACTCCTTCAACACACTGATGGTAAATTGCAATTAATGATCAGTTAAATATGAATAAATATTACTTTTAAAATTAATATAATTTATATTATTATAAATGTCAGTTACAATATGATATTTTAATTTAAATGTAATTTTAATTCATATTTAACTGATCATTCATATTCACATAATTTATATTGAACAGATTATTATTATTATTGACTCCTTCAACACACTGATGATACGATATACAATTTAAGTTTAAGTATAATTGTTATTCATATTTAACTGATCATTCCTGTAAAGAAAGTAAAATATAATGGAAGTAAAATATACATATGAATTTGCACTATTAAAAATTAGTGCAAACTGATACATGATATTTTTATTAATTATTCGGAGAGAGATCTGAATGATCACTCTTGTGCTGTGCTGTCACTCCTGTAGATGGCAGTGCTGAGCGCTATGATATTGCAGTGGCACTGGAGGGTCTTCGGGGATTGATAGATGAGGTGGAGCGATGTGTGGGAGATTACCAGCGTGCAAAGAAACTCCAAGATATCATAAATCGCCTAGACAACAAGAGTTGCACTCGCCTGAAGAACGGAGAGATCTTCGGCAAGCAAGACCTGCAGAAAACACACCGAACTCTCACACACTCTTCAGCGCTGACCTGTAGGACCACCTCTGGCAGACTGAGAGGTCCTACTGCCATGTGTTTCTATTTTTTTTTTCACTAATGTATTATTTAATTCCATTCCCAGTGTCTCTTTCTCTCTTTTACAGATGTTGTTGCGCTGCTCCTCACAGATGTTTTGGCTTTCCTTCAGGAGAAAGAGCAGAAGTTTGTCTTTGCTGCACTGGTACAGAAATATATATACATAATATGTACATTATATTGTATTTTTCTGTCCCTAAGCAAGTGTTTGTGCACTTAAAGGGTTAGTTCACCCAAAAATGAAAATTCTGTCATTAATTACTCACCCTCATGTCGTTCCAAACCCGTAAGACCTCCGTTCATCTTCGGAACACAAATTAATTAAGATGCATTCTGACAGCTCTCTGACCCTCCCATAGTCAGCAAGGGTACTACCATGATCAACGTCCAGAAACGTAGCAAGGAGATCGGTAAAATAATCCATGTGACATCACGGGTTCAAACGTAATATTACGAAGCTACGAGAATACTTTTTGTGCGCAAAAGAAAAAAAAATAACATAAATAAAATAAAATAATAATAGGGTCAGAGACCTGTCAGAATGCATCAAAAATATTTTAATTTGTGTTCCAAAGATGAACGAAGGTCTTACGGGTTTGGAACGACATGAGGGTGAGTAATTAATGACAGAATTTTCATTTTTGGGTGAACTATCCCTTTAAGAAATCAAAATATGAATTCACTTTTAAATACATTGTGTCTTCAGGAGCAGAAGCCATCTGTGATGCCCTTGCGAAGGCTCATTGTGAGGGAAATAGCCAATCAGGAGAGAGGATTATTTCTGATCAGTGGCGATTGCTCTGTAGGGCCTGAGATGTACGAGATACACACACAAACTCGTGAGGAACGCAACACATGGATGACACTGCTGAGACAGGCTGCTGATAGGTGCGTTAGACCTAGAGAGAGTTTTAATTTGTCTTGAATGACATTTTTTAAGTCTGTACAGTACCATTCAAAAGTTTGGGTCAGTAAGCTTTTTTTTTTTTTTTTTACAAGAAATTAATACTTATATTAGCAAGGACACGTTAACACATAAGGATACATAAATTGATCAAAATTTGTAATTTATAATGTTAGAAAAGATTTGAATTTCAAATAAATGCTGTTCTTCTGAACTTTCTATTTATCAAAGAATCCCTTAAAAATTTGTCACAGTTTCCACAAAAATATTAAGCAGCACAACTGTTTTCAACATTGATAATAATAAGAAATGTTTCTTGAGATTTCTGAAGGATCATGTGACACTGAAGACTGGAGTAATGATGCTGAAAATTCAGCTTTGCATCACAGAAATAAATACATTAGAATAGAAAATTATAATACTATTTCACAATATTACTGTTTTTACTGTATTTTTGATCAAATAAATGCAGTATAAGAGACTTCTTTCAAAAACATTAATAAATCTTACCCACCCTAAATCTTTAAACGGTATATATTTGTATTTGTTTCAGCCTTCCTGATGATCAGACTAAGAAGAATGAGGGGGAAATCAAAGTCAAAAAGATACAGAAGTTACAAGGTACACATCCATCCATCTTTCCATCCACCTGTGCATGTCTTTATCATTCCTTATGTCTGATTACTTGTGTATGTCTGTGTGTGTGTAGAGACGCTGTTTTCTCTGGACCTGCGGTTGTGCTCTGTTATTGAGGAGAAGTTAAAGATCTGTAGAGGGACTGGCAGATGGAGTCTGGCTACCTGCCGCCTTCTCGTTCAGCCACACCCTGAAAACACCCCTCAAGGTGTCGCATTACTGTCTGACGCACAGGAAGAGGGTAATGAATCTGTCTTTCTCTCTGTGAACACACAGTCAGGCTGTACTGATCTTCACCAAAGTCTTTTTTTCCCCAGTGGTGAAGCTGGCTATCACTTTGTTGACTTGGCTTTTTCCTTGCATATGGTCACCAAGTAACCATGACAACTTAGGCCAGGAAAGAGCAAGCCGTGAGTAATCAAATTACTAACACTCAAATTGTTATATAACAGAAAACAATATCATTATTGTTTAAAGGAACCACATTACAGGACTTTTTTTCACTCTCCAGCATTTTTCTGTCCAGATAATGAACAAAATTTGGCAAGTCGGAGCAGGAGGAGTGCTTTGGTAGGAACAGGGGTGGGGCCTGTCACAATAGCCCCTATAAGCCCCGCCCACCAGACTTATTTAAAGGTAAACACATTTGCAAGCAATTTACTACATATTTGAACATATTTGAAACACAAGCAGATAATGATATCTATGTTAATTGTTTGTAAAACCATTTTTATACAGATTGCCCCATTCAATTCAGTGGAACAATTTATGTAATAATAGAATTATTAATAATTTTTATATAGAAATTCTGCTCATGCATCATGAATGAGGTCTGCTTTTGTCTGTTTAGCGTATATGATTATAATACATGGAATATGTGCATTTTCTCTACCAATCCAGGTAGCGGAGGGTGTTCACAACTTAATCCACATACTCTACAGTCTGCAGGTGTGAGCCATTGATTAACTTTTAATAAATCTAAATGTTTATTTGTTTGTGTAATGTATACATATCACTGTTTTTTTGAAGGCTGCAATAATAATCCAAGACAGCTGCTTTGAAGTTCAAAATCTCCTCCTCCTCGAGGGAGAAGCTCCGCCCCCAACTCTTACAAGTGATTATGATGTCAAAAGGGTGGGTGTTGCAGTTTTTCTTACAGCATGTTTATCTAGAATGTGATAGAGTTACATGTAGGTATTATATAATGAAGTAGAGTTTATTTGAAGCATGTTCCAGACTCTTAAAGGAATAGTTCACCCAAAATTGAGAATTGCTGCCGAATTATCCACTAACCTAGTTTATGATAAATTTTTGTCATAGATTATAATAACATAGGCCTATATTTTTTCATATTTGTTTATTTTATTTTTCTTTATAATGAAGTAGTCTGTATCTAGTAGATTGTGAAAGAATGATTATCAGTTCCACACACAGAGATATATAAATTCTACATTTATTTAAATGAGGGAAAAAAACTTCACTGGTATCGGATCGGTATCGGTATCGGCCAATACCGAACCCTAGGTATCGGAATTGGTATCGGAGTTGAAAAAGGCGGATCGGAGCATCCCTAAATTATACTGAAAATTTACTTATCCTCAGGCCATCCAAGATGTAGTTGAGTTTGTTTCTTCATTGGAACAGATTTGGAGAAATTTAGCATTGCATCACTTGCTCACCAGTGGATCCTCTGCAGTAAATGGGTGCCAAACAGCTAAGTAAAAACATCACAATAATCCACAAGTAATCCACATGACTCCAGTCCATCAATTTCACCTGTGAAGTGAAAAGCTGCCTGTTTGTAAGATACATTAAGGCGTTTTAACCAAAATATGAATCCACTGTCCATATTACGCTTCCTTCAGTGAAAAAGTCCATTCCCTGTTGTCCTCTCACATCAAAGTCCACCAACATATTTGTTTAGAACTATTTGGACTATTTTTGATCTGTGTGGATTACTTGTGGATTATTGTGATGTTTTTATCAGCTGTTTCAACTCTCATTCTGATGGCACCCATTCACTGCAGAGGATCCACTTGTGAACAAGTGATGTGATGCTAAATTTCTCTAAATTGTTTCTGATGAAGAAACAAACTCATCAACATGGCCTGAGGATGAGTACATTTTCAGCAAATGTTCATTTTTGGGTGAACTATTCCTTTAATGCTATTTACACTTATTGCACTTCCTGTATCACTGTCTCAGCAGCAGAGTTTGGAGTGTGGCATGGTCAGCGGGACTGAGGCTGTGCAGCAGAAAGAACTGGAGCAGAGAGAAAAAGAGCATGCTGAACTGACAGACAGACTGGCGAAAGAGAAAGAGCAGTTTGAGGAGGAGCTGCGGCTGTTTGAGGAGAAGATGAGGAAACTGAGAGAAGAGGAGAAGAGAGTGAAGGAAGAGGGAGAAAGATTAAAGGAAGAGGGGAAGAAAGTTCTGAAAGAGAGGAAGAGTCTGGAGACACAGATAAGACTCATTCAACACAATTCAAATCATCGGCAAGGCATCTCGCCTTCTATCATATCACAGGAGAAATGATGTGCATTTATATGTGTGTATTAAAAGTTTGTATGTGTTTTAGTGTTAAAGAGACATTGCTGTGTTTTACTGGCAGAGTTGGAGACAAGATCTGACCTTCAAGAGCAAGACCAGGCTGTTCATTTGAAAGAAGTGAAATTTTGTTTTTCAGAGCCTGTTTTTCAGAGTTGTCTGTAATGATGATGATAACGCGTCAGCGATTGGTTGAGGTAATTATCACTTTTAGTAAAATGGAAATAGACTGCAGTCTTGTCTGAGACCATAAGTCAAGATCTAGACCATGTTTATGTAGTCTCAAGATCATGACTCCAACTCTGCTTAGTGGTGAAGTGTATCAGAATTGTACCACACTATAAGTCTTTGGTGGAGATAGCAAATCATCAGTCAAAACCCTTAAATTATTTAATATTTTTATTACTGTATTATTATTATAGCTCTAGTATTTGAATAATACTGGAGTGTCATTCTGTTTGTTGACAATCTTAAACATATTCAGACATCTGTCACATGTTTTTGCATGTGTATTTGCTGAATATTATTCAAATGACTAACAATCACCATACCCTTATTTTGCAAACACCACATGTAACTTAGAAATACCCCAGATTTCTTTTAGAAAGTGAAGTGAATCTTTGTTAAAATTTCTGTTAGTAGAGTTTTAACTGGTTGCAGGCCGGACAGACTGGGGATGTACGAGTCTTCGCCGCAGCCTGACCACAGCAGAGTCCACACTGGCTGCGGCATGCTTTCCATACTTGTCATCCTCCAGCTGCTGATGAGCGACCTGCAGCTCTGTGATCTCTTTCCCTGAGGATTCCAGATGTTTCCGGAGCATAGTACTGCCCTGAGAGTATAAGGGAAATGTATGTGTTAACAGTTCACACTGTGGTAAACAAAGCTAGTTTTTAATTTAGACTATCAGTTTACACTACCGTTCTAAGGTTTGGGATCAGTATGTTTTTTTATTTATTTAAAGAAATTATTGCTTTTCCTCAACAAGGATGCATTAAATTGACCAAAAGTGACAGTAAAGACTTTTATGTTTTTACAAGTTCTATTTAAATTTTGTTTTTTACTTTCTATTATTCAAATAATCTTGAAACAAAAAGGTTTTCACAAAAATATTAAGCAGCACAACTGTTTAGCACAACACTGATAATCAACATTGATGACAAATGTTTCTTGAGTAGCAAATCAGCATAGAATGATTTCTGAAGGATCGTTTGAATGAAGACTGGAGTAATGGCTGCTGCAAATTTAGCTTTGTCATCACAGAAATAAATTGTGTTTTAAATATATTAAAATATAAAAGTTATGTTAATAATATTTCACAATATTACAGTTTTTACTGTTTTTTGAATGCAGCCTTGGTGAATATTAGAGACTAATTAAAAAAACAAAAAACAATCTTACTGGCCCCAATCTTTTGAACAATATGTAGACTATGTATCTTTACTTAATACTTACATCTTTACATTTTAAAAATATGATGTACTCTTTGTGCTTTACATGAGTGTTTAAATTAAATTATAAACAGTTATACTGTCATAGTGTTTTTTTTTTATGTATATTGTCTAACTGTTACTGCATATGCAAAAAAGATTAGGAAGTATTGCACTTTATGATTGACAGATCATAGTGGAATGTTCTGAATGTTAGATTACATCCAATGCTCTGACCTGTGTTAGGAGGTCGGATTCTGGCAGCCCAACACTTGAATGCCGCCCATACAGCTGAGTCATAGGCCTGCTCAATCTCTCACGACAAAAAAGATCAGCACTGCAGACTGGGCCCTGCAAGGAAGGAATACATCTTCATTAATCAGTGAGTGAAAAAGTCATGAAAAGAATGGTAACATTATGCAGAATGTAGGATTTTTAGTAGCACTTTAAGATACATTTTAGTGGGTGCATGTGGGTAAGGGTTAAAGTAGTTTTCACAACCTCAATATATGCACTTGAAAATAGGGCTGCACAATTAATCGAATTTCTAATCGCGATTACAATTACAGATGCCACAATTGTGCAATCGTTTGTATAACATAATACCATGCATATTTTTACTTTTTTATTTAAAGAAGTATCCAATCCAATGTATAGTTGACATTTGAGGCTATACTATAGAAAAGCAATAAAAGTTTTTCAGTTAGTGTTTTGCGCTCGTTTATTTTCATATAAAAATATGGCATGCAGTTGCTTCAAACAATGGTACAAACATCATTCAGTGTAAATTGTAATAATCGTAATTAATAATCGCAATTACAATTTCAAGGGAATAATCAACAATTAGGATTTTTGTCACAATCGTGCAGCTCTACTTGAAAGTCACTTTGGTAGTAAATTAGTACCACAGTCTATTCATAAAAACATACCATAGCTCTGCCAAGACTGTAGCCAGCACATTGCATCTGTCTCTGTTTGCGGTAAATGGCCTGTCTTGTGGCAGCTGAGCTCAGTGTCAGATGTTGCTGATGAGGAAGAAGAAAAAGATATATATACCTGAATACAGTAAACTAGTCCAGAACATTTCATTACCTTAGATCAAAATCACATTTAATACCTCAAATACAAAGTAGGAGCAGAGCAAATGCATTATGCTTGTAATTATGCCAGCAAAACATTGGGTATTTCCTTCCATTTCCATTTATTTCTGCTCTTTTGAATATTTATTGGACCTCTGGAGAATCCCGTTCTGCAAATCCCTACAGCCTTTCAATGTCCGTCATTATTCCCTGTCCATTGCATATACACTACTGTTCCAAAGTTTTGGGTCTGTAGGATTTTTTGATGAATTTTTTTTTTTAATTAGTCTCTTATGCTCAACAAGGCTGCATTTATTTGAGCAAAAAAACAGTAAAATTAGTGTTTTCTATTTGAATACATTTTAAAATGTAATTTATTTCTGATGGCAAAGCTGAATTTTCAGCAGCCATTACTGCAGTCTTCAGTGTCACATGATCCCTCATCAATCTAACTACAGCCTTTCAATGTCCGTCATTATTCCCTGTCCATTGCATATACACTACTGTTCCAAAGTTTTGGGTCTGTAGGATTTTTTGATGAAATTTTTTTTTAAATTAGTCTCTTATGCTCAAAAAGGCTGCATTTATTTGAGCAAAAAAACAGTAAAATTTGTGTTTTCTATTTGAATACATTTTAATGAATTTTCAGCAGCCATTACTGCAGTCTTCAGTGTCACATGATCCCTCATAAATCAATCTAACATGCTGATTTGGCACTCAAGAAACATTTCTTATTAATGTTGAAAACAGTTGTGCTGCTTAATATTTTTGTGTAAAAGTATAGAATATCAACATTTAACACATATTGCCACATTCCGTTTCACTCTGCAGAATTCAGTCTGGGCCTTCAAATCATAATTTAGTATTCCTTCCACTCTCCACTTTAATCACACACCTCTAGGTTGATAGTTTCAGTGATTTTGTTCAGCAGGGCCTCGCTGGCTGAACGGTGCATATCTGTTTGCTTTGTGATGACATCACTCATGACTTGTGAAATGTTCTCTCTGAGCTGCTGAGATTCACGTAGTACTGTTGATGAAGAATCCAAAGCCTGTTTGCACTCTTAATGAAAGACAGAGTGAGATTAGGTACCAGCGGTCGTTCGCTGTCTGCATGCAAGCTTGTGTGACAGAGACAAAGGAAGGGTGAGAGACTTTAAGATAAAAGTGGCCCGGGGTACCTGGAGTGAACGGTCCAGTGGAGTCAGGTTTCAGTAAGAGGGGAGAAGGGTATGTTTTCACACCCGCTGAGAGTGAGCCATGCTGGGGAAGCAGCTCTGTTACTCTGGATCTCTCAAAGGCACAATCCAACAACTGCTTACTGCTCTCAGCCAAAGCCTCAAAATAAAATAAAATTAAAAAAACAGAATACAGCTTTTTTTTTCAGTCCTGATGAAACCGTTTAATTCTACTGAACATGTAAGTTCAATTTGAGACCGTTCATTTGCTAATGCAAAATTATATTTAGTGAATCATCCACAACTTGTTCAAAAGTTTGGAGTCGGAAAGATTTTCTAATGTTTTTGAAAGAAGTCTCTTATGCTTACCTATTTGATCAAAAATACAGTAAAAACGGTAATATTGTGAAATATTTTTAACAATTTAAAATAATTATATTATATTTTTTTATATTATAAAATGTAATTTATTCCTGTAATGGCAAAGCTGAATTTTTAATGTCACATGATCCATCAGAAATCATTCTAATATGCTGATTTGGTGCTCAATAAACATTTCTTATCAGTGTTGAAAATAGTTCTGCAGCTTAATATTTTTATGAAAACCATGATTCTGAATAGGTTAAAAGAACGAAGTATGAAGATCAAAAGAACAGCATTTATATAAAATAGAAATCTTTTGTAACATAAATGTCTTTCATGTCACTTTTGATCAATTTATTGCATTCTAAAAACAAAAAAATAATTTTCTTCTTTTTTTTTTTTTTGAATGGTAGTGTACATAAATTAAAGTTCAGATTATATAGTTTATCTTTAGACTACATAGTATTTTAGAAATTAAACTGTCAAAAGAGTGGCCTGAACAGTGGTGTGAAAACATTCCTTTATAGGCATTAGATATATCTAATAGGCCTATTTTTCACCTGTTGTTGAGTTAAAGTCTTTCTCAATATGCTCTCCAGTTCTTGTTTTAGCACATTCAGGCCTCTTTGTTCTTTGTGTAGAAGATCATCAGCTCCATCCAGTATCTTGACAAAACATAGAGTGGAAGCCATGAACTCTTTATTTTTCAACAAGGATATTTAATATATTTTGTAAGTCCACATTTGATCTCTTTAACCTCTTATGGGGTCACTTTAAATTAGACTACCAGTCATTTTACTGTATATACTGTAGCTACTCACTGTCTCTGTGGTGGCCGGTCGAAATGTCCTTCCGTCTGCACTTTGCTGATTGACCAGCAATGCTTTCCTAATACTGCGGAGCAATTTTTCCAGTTGTTCCCTTTGATGCTCCACCCTGGTGCCCTCCTGTGTGACCCTACCTGCTTGTCTGCGCAGGTGACCCTCCACCTCTCTCACACCCCGCATATATTCACCCGTCATACCGGTGCTGACAACTGCACTCTGATCACGCAGGGCCGGCGGGGGGAACAGCCTGCTCATGACTCCAGAAGTGAGCTATGAAAGAAAAACAATGTTTTATCATATTGTTGGAATGTGGAATGTACTTCTAATGAACATGTACAGTAAATGCAACTTGAGTCCTAATTCTAGTCTTATTATATATATCTTATATATTAATGTTCATACATTTTTTGATGTTTTTGAAATTAGTTATAGTATGCTCACGGAGATGGCATTTATTTGATCAAAAATACAGTAAAACTATAAATACTTTAATATATTATTACAACTTAAAATGTAAAATTGTAATATATTGTAAAATGTAGCCTAGGCCTAATAATGGTTAACTTGAAATGGGTTTCTCATTGCTCAATACCACAATGTTTTATCATATTGTTGGAATGTAGAATGTACTTCTAATGAACATGTACAGTAAATGCAACTTGAGTCCTAATTCTAGTCTTATTATATATATCTTATATATTAATGTTCATACATTTTTTTATGTTTTTGAAATTAGTTATAGTATGCTCACGGAGATGGCATTTATTTGATAAAAAATACAGTAAAAACAGTAATACTTTAATATATTATTACAACTTAAAATGTAAAATTGTAATATATTGTAAAATGTAGCCTAGGCCTAATAATGGTTAACTTGAAATGGGTTTCTCATTGCTCAATACCAAATAAAATATCTAGTGTAGAGGCTAATGATCGATATATTTGAATTTAACGTCAATTACAGCGTAAAAATTATATTCCAAAACTTTTGCTTTCTCTTGCAAAAGTTTTGCGTTCCTCCAAAATAATTGCGTTCGCTTGCAAATCTTTTGCGTTTCTCAGGGGAACGTTTTACGAACAAACGCATCAGTTTTGCGAAAGAACACGAAAGCATTCGAATATTATTTTTCATACCACCATGGACGGGGCTCCGTATTTTAATTTTTTTTAAAGTTCACACCGCTGCAAAATTGTATTCACAATTAAGTTATACACCGCTGCTTCGAGCACATTAATTAGTGCTGAAATAAATCGAATATTCAATATAAAAATATTAAGCATTCAAACTTAAATTAAAATGTTGTTTAATTAAGAAATGTAAACCATATTCATAATTAACGATCTGCAATTACTGGTGCGCACTACGTCATGACGACGCAACGCTGCATTGACCAATCAGAAACCAGGACCGGAATTGTGAGTTTTATAATAACAAATAGGCACTTTGCTGCTTGATTCTGATTGTTTTAAATAAATGAGCCACCATATCAACTTCTGAGGTACTTTACCATACTTCCAGTGGATTTAGGTCGGAATTCGTCTTTATTTTCCGAGTCACTCTCATTGTGCTCCTTTTCGACGCTGCTGTTCACACTGTATGCTGTTAACGGAGGAAGTCTGTGGGTAACGTTAAATGTCCCAACGCTGTGGCTGCGGTAGCGTGTAGATGAGTGCAGTTGATCTACGTGAGTTTGACGCAGAAGAACTTCGGCGCGCAGAATCGAGCGGACAGTCGCGTCCCTCCAGCCTTTAGATCCCACAACCGCAGCCGGGGGAGCGGACTGGACCGGCCGCTGCATGGTCATGGTAACGTACTTATCTACTTTAATTTACCATCAGTGGAACAATCCGAATAACTCCAAAGTGTTTGGGTTTAAAAGTGTTGGTTGTCTCCAACGCAACAGTTCCTCAAGTGACCAGGTGCGCGCACAGAGCTCTGATTGGGTAACACGAGACGCACTAATGAATGAGTGTCAATGCAGGCAGTTCATTCAGATCCATTCACACTGCAACTCAATCCGTGGAGATCGTGTTACATGATGAGAACAGATCGTGTGCTGTGATGTGCAACAGAGTTTCCTAAATTAGTCTGGCACAATATATACATTTTTAAAAGAAATAAACAGTTACAATGAAGAATTTCTCATAAATAAGCATCACAACTTAACACTGTAACACTATTGACATTAGAAAAGTTCAACTTTTTATTAGCATTTAAATGTAATATTTTACATTCCAATAAATTACCCCATGCTTTGATCAAATAATTTATACATTTTATAATTATATAGTATAACTATATAATACAGGTGCATCTCAATAAATTAGAATGTCGTGGAAAAGTTCATTTATTTCAGTAATTCAACTCAAATTGTGAAACTCGTGTATAAAATAAATTCAATGCACACAGACTGAAGTAGTTTAAGTCTTTGGTTATTTTAATTGTGATGATTTTGGTAGATGATAGATGTTTGCATGATTATTCCAGGCCTGAAACAATTTAAAAGTCCCTGATATTTCAAGATTTTGTATCACTGCCTATAGGAAGTATATGCACCTATGTAATATATGATGAGGACATCCATAAATAAAAATCTAGCACCAGACAGAATGATCACACAAAAAGCACAATCATTTAGATATTTGAGGCTTTATTGTCAATTATACCCCCAAGTTCTCAAGAAAGAACCTTTAATATCTCCAGCCTCCCAACAAAACCTTCAGAAAACCCACACAAACTTGAGGCTTCATTTGAAATGTGATTTATGAGGTTTGCACCAAGTCGTGAGGATTCCAGTGTAGCCAAATAAAATAAGCTGATTAAAACATGTACTTTCCAGAGAGTCTTTAAATCCTTCTATTGTGCAAAAGTTTTCTCTACACTGGAACGAAGATAGCACATTCCAGTTGGTACCATAATGGAATCTCCAAAATCAAACATTTATAAATAAAGAAAAAATATAAGATCACATGGAAAATCACATTGGGGAAAGACAAATCAAACAATAACAAGAAAAGCAGCATTCAACATATCCATTCATAATTATGAAACACAATTTAAACATTTAATAATAATAATGGCAGGATTGTGGGATATGGAAAAATAATTATTAATAAGCAAAGTGTGTGCTGAAAAGGCACTTGTGTGTAACAATGTAAATCTTGGAACCACAATCTGGAAGTGTGGGAAGTAATCAGAACATTTTTAGTTCAATCTAAATTACTAAAGCAACCTGTAATGCCCCAGTCATAAATTAATTTAAACTAAAAAAAAAAAAAACATTTCATAATATACACTCAACTTTCTCAAAAGTTCAGTTTTGAGGAATCTGGTAGAACATGCAAATGGCACTATTCACAACTTGTATACGTTGGCCTGTCTTGATTTCCTTTCAGTTTTAAGAGAACTAGAGAATTACTGTTTTAACAGAATTAACTTTATTAGAAGCTGAACCATTGTTTTAGATTGCACTCAATGAAAGTAGTGCCATTCACAATATATTGAGCTGTTATCAAGTTTAGCGCATACACAACATCATTAAACTCAAATTATGTGTTTAATCACACACTCACAGTGTGTGTTTGAGGGCTGTTTTGGGTCCAAGTCTGCTAGAGATGTTTTGCTGTAGCTCTGTTAACACACCGTCCCGCTCCTGTAACTCCAGAAGAACTTGCTATGAAGGGCAAACAAGAATATATCACGTCAGTAATTTGTGATCATGGAGGATGTGTTAAATTGGTAGCAACCAGCAGTTTAGAAACAGGTTATTTACCTCTATGAGTTTATCCCTCTTCTGAAGATTGTCTCTTAGTTTTCCTTCCTCAAAAGCTCTCTCCTTATTTTCCTTCTTCCAGCCTAGTTCAGCCTCCTTTTTCTCCTTGGTTTTCTCTCTCAGCTCCTTGAGTGTGTCCTTGAGTTGCTCTGATAGTGCAGTGATGGCTTGTTTGTGATTTTCTCTTTGGTCCTGAAATAACATGGAGGCATGTTGACGAAAACATACAAACCTGATCTTGAGAGCACACTGGTTTGGACAGCTTGCTCTCTTAGGTCATGCTTTTTAAAAAACGTTCATGAAATGTTTACTGGTAGCGATGCACTGAAATTTCAGCAACCAAAAATAATCAGCCAAAAATTTAGGTTTCCACCTAAACAGTTTTGGAAGGCCCAAAATCACTGCCCGAAAACGTGTGATGAGATTAATTTCACTTCTCTGGTGACACATTTTCACATACTGATTTCTCTTTTTTTAAAGAATCAAATTCTGTCAATTGTATAATGAAATTTAAACAATAAATGTGGTTTTGAAGCTCTTTACTTTCAGTTTTGAAAACGTATTTCCATTTCAGTGCTTTGGTAGAAAAAAATTATATTTTGGTGCATCACTAGCTACTGATATTGGCCAGAACATTGTCTGCACACACCACTAGGTGGCGCAATTGCTTTTCTGTTGCATCATGAAATGAAAAAGTCATCGAGTACATTCATTAGATTCAGATTTTCAGGTTTTTGAGATATTCAGCACACTAAAAATGATTGGCAATGAGTTGACATTTTTGAAAAAAAGCCACAATGGGAAATTAAAGTTATGATTTAGTCAGACCTTACCAGTATGATGCTTTCAGCATCAGTTAAGGCCGATGAGAGGCTTGAGATCTCCTGCAGCATGGTGGCACTGAGCTCCTCTCTATCTCTGAAGCTCGCTGCCAGCAGAGCTTCTTTCTCTCGCAGCTGATTGACCAATCCAGCCTCAGCTCCGCCCCCTTCCAATCCCCGTCCAATCAGTGAGTCTGAGAGTGCCTATGGGGAAAATGTTAATAGTTGACTACTGGAAATTATACATTAACTAAATCAACTGAACTTTGCAAAAGAGGTCAAATCAGACAGAGGGCGAAAACGCCACGTCTACCTGCACATCTCTGCGTGAACTCTCCAGCGCCTCTTTTAGCTGGGAAATATAGTCTTTGTTCTCCTTCACCAGTGCAGTCAGAGCTGAATCTCTCTCTTTCCACACTTCCCATTCTTTCATAATCTCCTGTTGGGCTCGATCCCTCTCTGCAAGCTCTACACGCAGGTGCTATTAGAAGATACAAAACATTGATTTTCTTCTCATTATAGATTTGCAAGCTGAATAATTTTTTACTGTTTAACAATGTTTTTCATAATGCAAACCATTCAAACTATTGGGAAACTAAACCCCACTGCACTTTGAGAACCCTGTTTTCTGTATAAGAGGTCTCAATGCCTCATTTACTCTCCAATGAATAGCACTCATGTATAATAGCAGCAGTTATTAACCAAGTGATTAAGTAAACAGTATGTGTGTACCGTTGAATAAGAGCACTGTTTGTTTGACTCACGTTAATAACATCCTGGTTACACTGGAGCACAGTGTTGAGTGTGATGAAGTCTCTGTCTCTCTCTCTGCCAGCGTCTCTCATGGCCTGCAGCTGTTTCTCCAGAGTTTTCTCTTTTTCACTCACCTCAGACAGCTGGGCCTCCAGGACCACCTGATTAAAACATTAACATAAAAATTAAGTATAAGCACTGTGGAATAATGTGCATGTGTTTTCAGCATTACCTGGACCAAGCAAACACACAACTGCTCTTGTACTCAGGTTAATTACCCCACAAATCTCACACTGACTGGGTGTGTTAGCCAGAACTTCAATGTAGGCTCAGTCTGTGTGTACTACTTGTAAGGGTCAAATAACTAAAGAATATAGTAAAACCGATTAAAATTACTGTTCCCACAAATTGAAACTGAAATAAAGAATGCTACTGTTCAAACATTTGGGGTTGGTAAATTTTTTAAAATGTTTTTGACATGCTCACCATGGCTACTTTTTTCTTTGAAAAATACAGTAAAACAGTAATATTTTGAAATATTATTACAATTTAAAAACCATTTCTGTTTTTTAATATATATTAAAATGTAATTTATTCCTCTAATGGCAAAGCTGATGTTCCTTCAGAAATCCTTCTGATATGCTGATAAAACTTATTGACCTCAAACTTTCGAATGTAGTGTTTATTTGTAATTTATTTACTTATATATACATTTTCCAAGATGCTTTGATGAATAGAAAATATTATATATAAATATAATTGAAAATATATATTATTATTATTACTACTATTTATTATTATAGGAAGCTGTCAAGAGGAAAATCATATTTCAATAATTGACTAAATTATGCTTTCATTCACTTCTAAATAATGGCACAATTTTTATTATATGATCCGGTTTAGGGTTAGTCTATAGTAATTATAATAATTATCTTAATTTAGGAACAACAGAGGTCTGAGCAGTCTTCATTTAAACCGCTCAGTTTGTTCATCATTTAGACCTCACCTCGCGTTCACTGCGTGTATCAGTCACTGCGCTGGCCAGTTTTATGACGAGTTTGTCAGTGTCCTGTGATTCCAGCCCCTGCTCAGCACACAGCTTCTGGATCAAAGTCACACATTCCTGAAGTGAGGAGAGCACAGAGTTCACTGACACAACCGTGACCTCCACACAATCCGTTTTTATCCTGAATCTATAATGAGTTCATCGATTCAGTACTCACCTGGATTACGTTCTCTCTGCTGTGCAGTGATTGGCTAAGACTCTCTATGAGGTCATTTTTATTTTTCAGACTGGTCTATGTGGCAAAACAGATCAGATGGGTATTAGTCTCACAAACAGACATCATCCCCAGTAAAATGACTCCATGTCATGCCTGAGGGACAGTTCATGGCATTGTGACTCCTTATGACTGCATTCCACTAGTGTTGTTATAACTGCTATCAGCTCACACTAGAGAGGAACCATTCAAATGCTCCTTCCCAGCATGCACCAGTGCTATGAAATTACAGCACTCTGTAAAATACTGAATTAAGGTAGATCATAAGAGAGCAGTAATGTACTGTGGCCACAAAAAGTATTTGGACACTTAAGTCACACTTTATATAACAGCACATCTATCTAAATTTTTGATCATAGGTCTGTTATTCCTCCTTCCCTAATTATCTATTTAAACTTAATATGATCTTGTTGTCCAAATACTTCTATGCAGTATTATTTTGGTATTATTTATATACTATTATAGTATTTATTAACATTTTGAATGAGCTTTTATTTTTATATTTTCAGTTTTCATTTTAATTTTATGAGTTTTAGTAATTTTGCTATATGCTTTTGTCATTTTTATTTGTTGTTTTTTTAATATATATTTATATTTAGCTTATATTTATGTCAGTTTTGGTATTAGTAATTTTATTACTATCACTTAAATGAAAATTAGAAATGTTACCTTGGCAAAAAAAGAAACTGAAATAAGTCCTTTTTTTAGTTTTTCTAATATTTATATTTATTTCTCCTTTATTTCAATTAACAAAAAACTAGTTTGAAGAGTTGATCTACTGTTCTGTCGTCTAAATCCTAACAAATTTCTTTTTATGAAACATTTTGATTTAATGGTTGGTATTATTTATATACTATTATAGTATTTATTAACATTTTGAATGAGCTTTTATTTTTATATTTTCAGTTTTCATTTTAATTTTATGAGTTTTAGTAATTTTGCTATATGCTTTTGTCATTTTTATTTGTTGTTTTTTTTTATATATATTTATATTTAGCTTATTTATGTCAGTTTTGGTATTAGTAATTTTATTACCATCACTTAAATGAAAATTAGAAATGTTACCTTGGCAAAAAAAGAAACTGAAATAAGTCCTTTTTTTAGTTTTTCTAATATTTATATTTATTTCTCCTTTATTTCAATTAACAAAAAACTAGTTTGAAGAGTTGATCTACTGTTCTGTCGTCTAAATCCTAACAAATTTCTTTTTATGAAACATTTTGATTTAATGGTGTGTTTGTGTTGTCTTTCTAAATAAATGTAACTAATTTTTTTTGTTATCTAATGCAATGGAATTCATATATTAATTGTGGCTTAAATGTCTGAATACTTGTTTGGGCCATTGTATGAATTAATTTCTCATGTATCTGTATATTTCGTTGAAAATACAATATATTTAATACATGATGAAGACTGAAAGAGAGAAAAATCACATCAAAATGCAGCAGCTGACAAGCCTTTTATGAAAGAAAGCCCAGGGCAAACTCCTTTGGTCTGGGAAGATTCCTGGAGGAGGTGTGTGTGTGTGTCTCTCTACGTGGGCAAACCCAAACACTATCTTTTTGAAAACATCCACACACCTTCTGTAATATACCCTATATAAGGCATAATTTGAAAAAAGTCAACAAAAAGATTAGGAGAGGGTGTGCCTCAGATGTGCTGTGCTAAGCCTCTAAAACACAATGCACAGTGCACACGATCGTTTGAAACACCCATGCCATTTAACTTAATCATCACGTCGTCTAACCACTTGCGGAGACTTCAACTGCTCGGCAGGAGCATCGGTTGTTGGTTTATTGGCGTCCCTTAGCTGTGCCTCAAGACTTCTGATGAAAGCTTGAGCTTGAACAAGTTGTTCACGCAACTGCTTCACAGCAAGGTGCACCCTACCTGCGGACGCCTAAAAAGAGAGATAAAAATGAACTGCAAGGTTTGAAAAATGGTGAAATGTCTGAAACAGTATGACAGTCCTCACCTCTCTTTGCAATGGCATAAAGTCGTCTTTTAGCTCAGTCAGGATGTCATTGTTCTCTTCTTCAAATTCATCCTCCGTCCCATTGTTGCCCTCTCCAAAATTCAGGACCCTCACTAACCCTGCTTTCAGTCCCACCTCATCCTTCCCATTCTGCAAGTCCCCTCTGCCCAACACAGGAATGCGACTTCCAGCAGGTGACCTCACTGGCTTTCCTTCAATTCTCCTTAACTCTTTGAAAACTGTGTCTATAATGGCCGAATGCTCTTCTGGCCAATCAAACGGATCGTTGCCGTCTAAAGAGTCCAGCGACTGAACTGAGGTAGTGCGGGATCGAGATCGCAAAGAATGACAGGAACCAGACAGCGAGGCGGGGCTGGATCTGACAGACGGCACTTTCGACCAATGAAGAGGCATGCTGCAGGATTTTTCTCGAGAGAGGCCCAATGATGTGAAAGTTTGATCGGGCAAGTGACGTGGAATCCCACAAACAGACTCGTAGTCCGAGTCAGACACCCTCAAGGAGTCGCAACACTCACACTTCTTGCCTTTATGACACCGTTTCCCTGTTCTCCTATAATATGGACACGACTCCGCTTTCTCGGACCACCATTCGTACTCTGAGAGGGCCATGTTGTCCCTCAGCATTTCTCGGTATCCTTCTCCTACAGAATCCTTCCTGACCCCTTCATCCTCACTGGAACTTCCGTTTCTCCTTGAAGTAGACATGTGGCGCTGATCGTACATGCTTCGCACCCATCGCCTGATCTTGTCCCTTTCCTGAGTGAGTTTCTGGAGTCTCTCACTTGACAGCACTCGGACTCTGGCAATGACGGTGTCGAACTTGAAAACTCGCTCCAAAACGGACACACACTTGCCGCATAAAAACTCCCCCTGACCGTCCCCACGTGGTACAGACTGCTCTAATATATGTGTCAGCACACAAAGTAGGTCGATTCCTTTCGTGGGGGTGAGCAGGCCACGAGACTTCGATAGCGAACGGGAGGAGCTTAGTGATAAAGTGCTGCCTAGAAATAAAAGATAAAGAATATATTCATAATTATAATCAAACATGCAATATTTTTTAAATGTACTAATAATTTAAAACCTATGCAGCATTTTAATAGCTTCAATAATTAAAAGTAATAATGCCGAAATATGCGTTTTTTTCTATTCTCCATTTTATTTAAAAATGTATACAGTAATAGCAAATGTAATGTACTTAGACATGTTCTCTGCAGGTCATACCCCATGGGCTGCTTTGTGCCGATCTGGGCAAGCTTCCCTTGCTAGAAAAGTCTGTCGGCGTCTGAGGTTGTGCCCCCTTTCTGTTCTGACCTGCATACAGCCATCGCCGCTGGTTACCTTGCAGGTCACTCCCACAAATGCGGCAGCCTTCACTTCGAGTGGTCATCATAAAAAGGTGCAGCAGGTGCCCTAATAATAATAATAATAGCACAATACAATAATAATAATAATAATAATAATATTAATAATTCAATAACAATAATAAAACTAATCTTTTAAAAAAATTCTCAAAAAGATTCTTCGAAAATTGTCATTGAGTGTTTCATGGAAAAAAATGAATTAATGATACAGCATGATACTGGCATCTGAGGGGCAATTTAAAGCTTCTAGAACAATATACATATACTTTACACACCTGAATAAATCTATCAGTAGTTAACTGTTGTCCTTTGGCTGGGGTGGATCTAGTGAATGACAGCTCACTCTCCCCCACTGACAATCTCAATGTTTACATGGGCTGAACACATCGGCCTTGAGCTCTAAACACACACACACACA